TGTTGTTCTCTCCCTGACTGGCCTGCCCCTCTCTCCCCCTCCCCACCCTGGTTCCCTGTGTGTCTCATCTCTGGCCTATTTCTCTCCCTCAACTCCAGTTTATCTGTCGCCCTTTCCCCGTCTCTCTGTTCCCATCCGTGGTCGCGCTCTCACTCTGACCTGTATCTCTCACACCATGTCCCCTCTCTGTTCCCCTAACCCTGTCTCTCCCCATCACCCCTGTCTTCTCACTCTGTGTCCTATCTCTCCCCCGACCTGTCCCCTGTACCTTGGTCCCCATGTCCCCTGTCTCTGTTCCCTGTACTCAGTCTCTCTCCTCTTCTTTCTTCTGTCACTCCCTCTGTGACCTGTCTTGTTCTCCAGTCCTGTCTCTCTCTTGTTCTCTTAGATCCTGTGGCCAGTGTCTCCCTCCTACCTTGGTTGCCTCCCTCGCCCTCTATGGCCTGTCTCTCCCTCTGTCCCCTGTCTTTCTGTTGCCATGTCATCTTTCTCTCTTTCCATCTTTCTCCCGACCATCTGTCCCCTGCAGCTATCTCCCTCTGGCCTCTCTCAATCTTCCCCTGATGGCTGTCTCTCTCAACCTTGGTCTTCTGTCTGTCTGTCCCCCTGTTCCCAGTTTCTCTGTCCCCTTGTCAGCTGTGTCTCTGTGACTGCATGGCCTGTCTCCCCCTCTGTGCCCTGTCTCTCCCTCTGAGGCCTGACATTCTATGCCCTGTTCCTTGTCTCTCTCTGTCCTCCTGTTCCCTGTCTCTTACGCCCTCTGTCCTAATTCTGTAGCCTGTCCTCTGTCTCTATCACTTGTCACTCTCCCTTTGTGGCCTTTCTCCTCCCTTTCACCAGTCTCTGTTCCAGTGTCCACTGTTTTGTCTCGTTGTGGCTTGTGTCTCTCTGCCCCTTGCTACTCTCTCTCCCTGTCCTTTTCTCTCTCTTTCTATAGGCTATCTCTCTCTCCTTCTCCCCAACTATCTCCTGTCTCTTCCATCTCTCTGTCCTCTCCCATCTCCTATTTTTTCTCCCTCTGTAGCCTGCCTCTCCCTCTCTTCCCTGTCTCTCTCCTGCCCCCCTCTCTCTCTCCCCACTTCCCTGTCTCTCTCCCATCCCTTGTCTGCCTGTCTCTCCCCCACCTCTTGTCTCTCTCTCTCTCTCTCTCTCTCTCTCTCTCTCTCTCCTTGTCTCTCTGCCCCATTGTACCCTGTCTTTCATTTGTAGAATTTCTCTTCTATGGCCTCTCTCTCATTGTCCCCAGTCTTTCACTCCATCCTCAATCTCTCTGTCCCTTGATTTTTCTCCCCCTCTGAGGCCTGTCACTTTCATGCCCCCATCTGTGTGTCTCTTTTCTGTCCCCAGTGCCCTCCCTCTGTGTCTCCCTGTTTCCTGTCTCTCTGAACCAGTGGCCTATCTTTCTCTCCCCCAATCCTGTCTCTGTTTCTCCTGTCCCTTACCTCTTACCTCTGTGGCCTGTCTCTGTCACATGTCCCCAGTCTCTCAGTCCGCCCCTCCTGTGTCTCTGTTGCTCCTGTCCCCTATAGCTCTCTTGCTGTGTGGTCTGTATCTCCTCATTGCTGGCTCCTTGTCCCCCTGTCCTTTTGCCCTTTTTGTGGCCCCTCTCTCTTTTGCTGACTGGCTCTTGTCTTTTTATGCTGTATCTGTTGTCTCTTCACGTTGTCACCTGCTATGCCACAGTGTTGGCTCCTTAAGAAAGCTTAAAGATGTGGCAAAGGCAGACAAGCTTGTTGGAATTGAAAATCTATACCCCTCTTAAAGGAGAGACAAAAACAAGTTCAAGGATCCCCTATACCCAAGAGGCCTCCTTCAGCCTTTTTCTTGTTATGTTCTGAGTATCGTCCAAAAATCAAAGGAGAACATGCTGGCCTATCCGTTGGCGATGTTGTGAAGAAACTGAGAGAGATGTGGAAGAACACTGCCGCAGATGACAAGCAGGCTGATGGAACATGACTGCTAAGCTGAAGGAAAAATATGAAAAGGATATTGCCACATACTCAGCAAGGGAAAGCCCGATACAGCAAAAAAGGGGGTTGTCAAGGTGAAAAGAGCAAGAAAAAGAAGATTATGGAAGACGAACGACAAAGATGAGGATGAAGATGAAGAAGATGATGATAAAAAATAACGCCAGGGGCCAGTGCCGTGGCATAGTAGGCTAAGGCTCTGCGTGCAATGCCGGCGTCCTTTATGTGGACTGGTTCGAGTCCCAGCTGCTCCTCCTCAGATCCAGCTCTCTGCTTATGGCCTGGGAAAGCAGCAGAGGATGGCCCAAGTGCTTGGACCCATGTACCTGCATGGAAGACCTGGAAGAAGCTCCTGGGTCTTGGCTTTGGCCGTGGTGACCATTTACAGAGTGAACCAGTGAATGGAAGATTTTTGTAACTCTGTCTCTCAGATAAATAAATAGAATTGTTTATAATCTTCACTGTTTGTGTGTGTGTATGTGTGTGTGTTAGCACATTACTGAATGTGTCTTTAAAATCCCTGTCCTGGTGGTATTTTTAATAGCCATTAACCTTTAATACCCATTAACCTTGCCTGGTAAGAGTATAGAAATTGTAAAGTAGCATGGAAATTAAAAGTAGCTTCTTGTTGGTGCACAGCACAAATTAGGGATCTGTGGCATGGTGTTTTTTTCATCTTCAGTTATCTCTGATGCAGCTCAAACAAAATAATGTTGTTAACTGAATTCCACTGTACAATTGCAAAAAAAAAAGTCACAGCTGTTTTGTTGCCATTTTGAATGCTTCTAAGTAAATACATGTGTTTGTTAAAAAAGAGTTCCAGAGAATTTTCTAATTTGCAAGCAAAGTTGTAAACCACTGTTTAAGGCCAACCATTTTATCCAGTAGATGAGGCAGAGTTTCAGTGAAATCAAGTTCACCCAGCTTGTCAGTCAAACATAGAGCTGATCCTGGAATCCTGATAGCAGGCTCATAATTCTCAGCTTAAATTTCATTTCTACTAGTGGGAGTCCTATTGGAAATGAGTTTCCCTCACAAGTTTCTACATTGCTCTTTCCTGTGTGTACACACACACACACACACACACACTGTTGGCTGTTTCCTCTCCTTAATGCTGCTCCATCCTGTGTAGTTTAATGAGCTTGTTTATACCAAGGACATAGCAGGCAAGTCTGAATACCTAATCAGCTGAGCCAGAAATGCACAGAACCAGGCTTGCTGCCAAATTCAGTGTGACCATGTGATAGACACCTGCTGTTTCCCTGATACGCTGTTAGTAAGCATATATTTTATGCACAAAAATTCCACTCTCAGCATAAGCAGCAGCTCTCCTAACATTCATTTTGGCATTTACTTATGTTTCCATCCCATTTTTCAAAACAGATTATGGCTAATGCCCTGCAGAAAATGTTTATACCTGAAAACTCAGCTTACTATGAACCTCCCATCTGACTCAAAACTGGAGGGAGAGAACTGAGCGAAAACAATCCCTCTTTGATCTTTTCCTCTCCTCTACCATGAAGGGGCTGGATGCCAGCTGCACATGAGCTGGGGCCAGGCTCTGCACTTGGGCATGACCAGGGATCCCTGACCTGAGCTCTAAGATGGGAATATCTAGATTGCCCTGGCCTGCAACTCAGAACAAAAAGCCCTTCTCTTTGGAGCTGCATGGTTGGAGACATACCATGAGACACATCTCCCTTCGTGGGGAAGGACTCTGGCTGATGGTCAACCCAGAACACAGGGGTGAAGGGATTTGTTCTCCATTGTTAAAGCAACACTTGCAATTAAACTCTTAAATGAGACATGCTTTCCAGGTAGTACCCCATTTCATCTCACCTAAGAGGATTTTATAAGTAAGTACATGTAGCTTAGAATGCCATCCAGGTCTCCCATGTGGGTGGCAGGAACCTAACTGTGTGGGTCATGACCATCATCTCCCTGGGTCTACAGTGGCAGGAAATTGAAGTCAGGAGCTGGAGCTGGAAATCAAATCCAGGCACTCTAGGGTGGGACATAGGGATCTTAGCCCAATGCTAAATGCCTGCTCTGTTGACTCCACCATCTTTAATATGCTGCTTTCAGATATTCCCACAAAAGGGGAAAAACATGGAAGGCCCTGAATGACTATTTTTATGGGTTAGGTTTGGAAGTGACACGGTAACATTTGCTCAGTTTCCATTAAACTTGAGTACATGATCAAATCTTACCCCCAAGTGAGCCTGGGAAATACGATCCTGATGCAACAGCACAGTCAAGCCACAGCGTCACTTGACAATTAAGAGTAGGCTATAATGAAACTGATAATCCTGTCTTAAACACACTCAAAGGAAAATTGCTCTCAGCTTTTGCCCCCTTTCACTTATCTTGGTGCATTGCCCCCCTTATAACCAGGATACAGAGACTGAAAAGATCATTCAGTAACACTTCACAAGAGTTCCATTCTCTGGCTCTGCACACGTTTCTCTCCCAATCAGTTCAATCATGTTTGTTCTGAATTACTCATGAGGATCAGTAAAGATCATCAAAACAACCAACAGGCTTGACAGTAATATAAATGCTGCTAAAGGTTGTAAACAACACAAGACTTTTATTTCAGACCAACATCTCAAAACCTAGAAGGAGTCATTTTGCAGAACACACAGCCTCATGGAAGATGTAACCATTTGCGACCTTGTTTTTCTACAAGTGGGCAATAGCTTTTTACAGAATTCCTCTAGGCATAAACTTCTGACCCAGGTCCAAAGAGCTATCCCACTGTCCCTGGAAACACCTGGCTAGGTACAAGTAACAGTAACAAATTTGACAGCTGAGTCTGACATTTTCTATAGATACACATCCCTGTCCTCCACTGGGTTGCCTTTCTGCAACACTGAATGTCCTCAGAAGATTCAGTTACTCTCTTATCTCCAAGGCCACCTTGACACCCACAGAGATTCTACACATCAAAACTGCTTCATTCACACATCATCTAGGGTGCCAAAACAGAGTTATTTCTCTCAAGGTTTCATTTTCACCAATATGGAAACTGCCAATTTCATTGGGCCTTGAGAGCATGCAAAGTTGCTTGGAGACACCTTCCATATATAAGCACCGTGGTTGTCTGAGAAGCCCTAGACCTCTGTGGACAAACCTTGGAGGAGCAGCCTCCCAGACTGACTTAAGCCCTGAAAAGCACCTGTTGCCTTGCAGCACCATGAGGTAAAGATTTTCTCCTTATTTCTGTGCACTTTGATATTTCAAATCTCTCCTTAGGAATCAGTTCTTGGGTAGGTCTCCACCTAAGGGAGCTGTTGTATTCATGGTTCTAATGCTGACAGGCCTCCTCATCCTGGTAACTTGGGAAATTTAAGGAGGCTATTTAAGATTATGTGGACAAGGTTCAGGGAAACCAGCAGGAGGAAGTGCTGGAAGATGATGGTGACCAACAATGGGAGTAATGTGGCAGGCCTAGCATTACAGGGGCAAGAGGAGGGAGCAGTCACCAGACCTAGGGAGACTCTGAGCTGTAGCTGTAGGGAACAGCCTCAGCAAGAGGCCTTTTTGTGGACAACTCAACACCTGACAACCTAAGCCAAGCACAGTACATTCCTTACACACTCTAATTTGACTGCTGCCTCCCAGTGGCCAAACAGAAGAGAAAGTAAAAAATCAAACAGGTGCAGTTGAAGTCAACTTCTCCAAGCAGATGGCATGGTAAAGAATGGAGGTAAGTAAGTCCAGATGGGGCAAGATGAGAATGTGTGTACAGAGGTTTCCTAACTGTCCCATTACACAGCTTAGCCAGTAAGAGCAGCAGAGGTCTTCAGGGAGTTAATGAGGTAGCCTTCTAAATTCCAAGGGAGATGGCATTTGGGTAGAAGTTTTCAATGAAGCAACACTTTCCCAGGGGACGTATACAGACTTCAAGGGAGAACAGAGGTCTGAGCCTGGAAGAGAGACAGGCAAGGGACCAGTTCAGGCAAGAACATTGAGATCCTTTTGAGCATCCAGCTGAGCAAGAGAGGAAGCTATTTTTCATCTGATAATTTGTTTAAAGCCAGGTGGGGAGAAGAAACTATTTTCAAAGATGTCTACTTTTTTATTGATACCAAGTTAAAGTTTTGTGAATGCCATGAAACTAGATATTGTGATAACCGTGGAATTTTCTGTTCACTAAATCACCTCTTCTTGAAGTGTGCTCCCCTGACTAGCAGCATTATCATGACCTGGGAACTTGTTAGAAACACAGATTCTCAGGCTGCACCTCAGTCTGCTGACTCAGAAACTCCGGGGTGGGCCCATCTGTCTCTAGGTTTGGAGTCTTCCAGCTGTTCATGTCACAGGTTAACATTTGAAAGACTAGATGTTAGAAAATAAGAACTCTTACAGGAGTTGTGATGTATTTATTCCAGGAAAAAGATAGTCCTTGATTTACAGGTTTGTTTAGTACTAAATTGCAGGAAAGCAGTCTGATGTGTTCCCACACATGATGTTGCAGACAGTAGGGGACAAACAGCTTATACTAAACAGGTCCCTCCTCCAGGATCCTTTTCCAGAAAACATCTATACCTGTCTCTTTTTTTCTATTTCTTTTTAAACTGACATGTAGTATGTGCACATCTTAATGAGGAACAGGGTTATAATATGTAGTGATCAAATCAGGCTAATTAACATTTCAATTTCCTCAAATATTGTCATTTCTATGTGTTGGGAATCTTTGAAATGTATAATTGTTGTAGACTCTCCAATTACCCTACTGGCTATACAACACTAGAACTGCTTCCATTCAACTGTATTTGAATATCTGTCCTGAGAAGAAATTGAACTTGAATGATTGTAAAGGAATTCACCACAAGAGTATACTAGACAAGAATTTTTTGATTTAGTTTGTTTCTTAGAAAGACAGAGAGGTGGACAGAGCCCCCACAGCTGGTTCACTCCCAAATGTCCATGTCATCCTGGGCTGGACCAGGCCAAATCCAGGAACTAGGAACCCTATCTAGTCTCCCACGAACTCTTGATCCAATGCCGTCTGCCTCCCAGGGTGCATTAGCAAGCAGCTAGAATGGGAAGCAGAGCTGGGTCTGCATCTGTGAATTGACAGAAAACAAGCCCTCTCTCTCCCCCCCAATCCTGGAGGTTAGCCTAAGTGAGAGGTTTTGTAATGACCTATTGCTTATGTTTCTGGAACCCCTGCTGTGAGATGGTCAAATGGGGCTCTGGACTATCCTAGACTGGATAAAGACTACATCAAAATATTCCTGATCCTAGTGGTACTGGCACAGAGAAGCAAATTGAGTGCCTCCCTACATTCAAGTTCACTGATGAAAATACCCTAAGGAGAAAAAATCCAGGTGCCAGGTGAATTCTAGACAACTTGTGATGACAAATTCCCATCTTCCACATGCACAGAGAAATTAGGTCACCACCCAGGAACATATTCGCAATGTGATACTACTATAGATACTACCAATAACAGTATTCTCAGTGTACTCACTGAGTAACAGGCAGCCTTTAGGTTCTTAGCATTCCTATTTTAGAAATTGAGAACATCTCCACGCTGATATATTTTACACTATGGTCTTTCCAGAGCCCAGGCCCAGAAGAAAAAATTATACTTATCTACAAATAACTTCCCATAAGAAAGAACCCTAATTTCTTAAAGCTCTTCAAGTTGTCCTAGTTGCATACTAGTTCTGCAATCTTGGTGAGGGCTGAAACCTGCATACTTTCCACTTATCAATGCAGGCCACTCTGGACCTGATTACATCACTCAGAAAAATAAGTCTATTTCTACTCACAAACAAGCTAGCTGAGCCAGCAGCCAAGGTGCATGAGATTAGGGTACATGCTTAGAGAGCAGGAAATGACTCATCCCCAATTATATATTCCAGACAACAAGAGTAAAGGCAGTCTGCGTGAAGGATTGTCCCTGGATTTTCCTCATCACACCAAGGACTACAGTGGGCAAAAATGGAGCATTTGGGTCAAAAGCTCCTCCAGGTTCCATCTCCCTTAGGAGAGGTGACTATTTTCAGTGCATTCTTGGGTCAATATCGACCTTACTCTCTTCTAATCTCCCCCATGACCCCAACACCACCAGCAACACACACACGTACACAGGTTTCAGTGACTGATATTTCTTGCCCATGCTTGGTTGGTAAAGAGCCAAGTTTCTGAAGCTTCTCCCCTCAGCAGTTGTTACACAGGCCTGTCATAAAGCAGGAACAGACTCTGTGTCACTTATGTCATCTTTCATAGACGCATGTCTACCGTTGAGGCTGTGGCTTGGCAGTGGGGCAAAAATTCACTCAAGGAAAAAAAATCTATGCATTGTGGGTAGCTTTTGAAGTGGAGACGTTGTGGTTGAAATGAGAAAGCCACATAGAGCTACCAGCTGTACTTGCAGAGGCAAGAGCAAACCTGAATATTGGCTGCCTACCTGGGTAATGTAATACATCATTTGTGAATGAGTACTTCATAGTCTAGTTTTTTGGAATTAGATTATGGTTAGATATTAAGAATGATGATGGTGAGGCCAGCGCTGCGGCTCAGTAGGCTAATCCTCTGCCTGCGGCGCTGGCACACCGGGTTCTAGTCCCGGTCGGGGCGCCGGATTCTGTCCCGGTTACCCCTCTTCCAGGCCAGCTCTCTGCTGTGGCCAGGGAGTGCAGCGGAGGATGGCCCAAGTCCTTGGGCCCTGCACCCCATAGGAGACCAGGATAAGCACCTGGCTCCTGCCATCGGATCAGCGCAGTGCGCCAGCTGCAGCTCGCCGGCCGCAGCGGCCATTGGAGGGTGAACCAATGGCAAAGGAAGACCTTTCTCTCTGTCTCTCTCTCTCACTGTTCACTCTGCCTGTCAAAAAAAAAAAAAAGAGTGATGACAGTGGGGCTTATATGAAAATGGTGGTTTTTGCTAAATATTGCCAAACATAGGCTTAAAAGAAAATTTAAAAAGGGTTCCTTCTGAGATCTTTTTTTGGACCTAAAGGGTAGAAAATGTGTCAAGTATAAGATGTAAGATAATTAGTTCAGAACAGAGAGCCAAACACACTTATGTAGAACACAAGGATCACTTTTTCAACTATTAGAAACAAATTTCTTTTTCTTCCTTCAAGTTGTAGGGGGAATGGGACTTCATGTTCACTTCATAGGAGGGAGAAATATTGGAAAGAAAACTTCTAGTCCCATTGACCTCTTATTATTCACTCTTCCCTTTGAGTAGCCAATGGATTTCTCTAATTTTAGAGATTTGGGATATATATCCTTCACTGGGCTATATGATTACATGGCATCACTGTTCCCAATTTACAGAAGTGGGACTTACATATGACTTTATGCAATGTTCTCTCATCCACTGAACCCATATGGTAAGTCTGACATTGTGAAATGATTCCACCAATTTCTCAACCTCTCAATAACTTTTTCTGAAGATTGGATAACTTTATACTGCCCAATAAGGCAGAATACCCTACCATATTCTCTAACCTAACTTAAGTGTTTGTAAAATCAATGATTGGAAACCACAGTTGGCTCTCATGTATATTCATAACCCTTCCTAGGAGGAGACAGAACAAAGACATGTGTAGGTGTTGGAAACATGGGGGCAAATGAGTTTGGAATCCACCCTTCTGTGCCTCTTCTCTCTATGTTTGTTCTGGAAGTCTTAGAGCAGACCACAATGTTGTAGAGAGGCAGAAGATGGAGAACGGTTTTGTTCTCCAGTATTGATGGTGACCTTGAAATTGATCTGATGCTGGCAGAATTAGTCTCTTTTGGGTTGACTTTCACACTACACATAACCCACCTGTTGGCACTATAAAATCATTAGAGATTCCTGAGGCTTTCTTAAAGATTTATTTATTTATTTGAATGGCAGAGTTGCAGAGAGAAGCATAGAGACAGACATAGACAGAGAGAGATCTTCCATCCACTGGTTCACTCCCTCAAATGGCCACAATGGCAAGGGCGGGGTCGAGCGGAAGCCAGGGGATTCTTCCAGTTTTCCCACATGGGTGACAGCGCTGCAACCACTTTGGCCATCTTTTGCTGCTTTCCCAGGCCTGTTGCAGGGAGCTGGATCAGAAGTGGAGCAGCCAGGACATGAACTGAACCCATAAGAGATGCAGACATGACAAGTGGTGATTTAACCTGCTACATCACAACATCTACCCCCATTTTGAGGTTTTCTATGTCAACACACATAGAATATAGAGAAAACACATAATGTAGGCAGGTGTACTAGTTAGGGGTTTGTTGTTGGGACTATTCAGGTGAAGTGCTAGCTTCATTTCCAGTAGAGTAAATACCCCTAACATTTTTTGAACTATTTTTTTTTTCAGTGAGAAATCCCATGGATATCAGATTAATGATAGACTGGTTCAGGTGAGATGCCATTTTACATGGGAGTTGTTAATTGAAGACATTGAAATGCCGGATTTAGAAAACAGGATCTGGGAAGAGATTCAATTTCTAGACACTGAACACAAGGTAGGATACAACCTCCTGGCCTATGTGAAACACCTGCAAGGCAAGCATGAGGATGCCCTGGAGAACCTGAAAGAAGCAGAAGAGGTGGTTCAGGGAGACCAGGCTGACCACTCAGATGTGAGGAGTCTGGTGACCTGGAGCAACTACGCCTGGGTGTACTACCACATGGGCAGGCTGGCAGATGCGCAGACGTACCTGGACAAGGTGGAGAACACGTGCCAGAAGTCTGCAGACCCCTCCCGCTATAGAATGGAGTGCCCTGAGATGGACTGTGAGGAAGGCTGGGCTTTGCTGAAGTGTGGAAGAAAAAATTATGAGCGGGCCAAGGCCTGCTTTGAGAAGGCTCTGGAAGCAGACCCTGAGAACCCCGAATTCAACACAGGGTATGCAATCACTGTCTACCGCCTGGATTACCCTGCCAAAAGACCATACGATGTCAGTGATGCGTTTTCTCTGCAGCCCTTAAGGAAGGCCATCAGGCTCAATCCACAAGATGCATACCTTAAAGCTCTGCTTGCTCTGAAGCTGCAGGATTTAGGAGAGGAGGCCGAAGGAAGAGAGTGCATGGAGGAAGCTCTGGCTCACACGTCCTCCCAGACCTATGTCTTTCGATACGCAGCCAAGTTTTTCCGCAGACAAGGCCGTGTGGATGAAGCTCTGAAGTACCTAAAAAGGGCCTTGAAGGCAACACCCAGATCTGTCTTTCTTCATCACCAGATAGGCCTCTGCTACAGGGAACAAATGATCCAAATAAAGAATGCTACCCACATGCCGCCTAGAGGACGGGATAGGGAGAATGTGGACAGATTGGTTCAATTAGCCATAAATGAATTTCAAAAGGCTTCAGTTCTAAAGCCGACATTTGAATTGGCTCATGTTCACCTGGCTGAGATGTATGCAGAAATACGCCAGTACAAAGAGGCTGAGGAACATTTTCAGAAAGCATTATGCATCCCGAACAGTGATGATCACATCCAACAAGAAATTCATTACAGCTACGGTAATTTCTTAGCATATCACTGGAAATCTGAAGACAAAGCCATCACTCAGTATCTAAAAGGTCTAAAAATAGAAAAAGTGTCTTATGCCAGGGAAAAACTGCTCAAGGCTTTAGAGAGATTGGCAGAAAGACGTGTGAACCGGAATGTCCAAGTTGTGGAAAGTACCGCCCTCCTTGGGCTCATCCACAAATTGAGAGGGGAAGTGAGCAAAGCCCTGCTGTGTTATGAGAAGGCTCTAAGGCTGGCTGCTGACCTCAACTCCATGTTCTGAAATGGAGATCACCGTTATCCAAGTAAGGTACTCAAAACGAAATATAACATCATCTTTTCCAAGCACTACCTTCAAACATATAAAACCTGTGAGGATACAAATCAATTTCCGTTGCCTGCCCTGCTGTTTTCACTTTTCCCCTTCCCTCCAAATGCCTATGACAAGAACATCCATTCTTCTACATCACATCCCTATACACATACACCACAGATGCTTAATACCATTTGGGGCAAGCAGGGCATGCTGGGCCAAGCAGATTCATTTTGCTTCTGATTTTGCCTTTGGAAGAAACAGTTTCAATCGTCAGACTAGCTGTTGTCCCAAACAGAGGAGACTTCTTCATGCAACCAGGGCTTTGACCTGGCACAAAATAACAGTAAAACAAGTGAGCAATGATGAGACTTACCATGAAAGAGAAGACTTTAGTAGTCACTCCAGCATTCCATACCTAGATTTCCATCTCCCAAGGCCCTCCTGAAACCAAAAACATGGGGTCCATGAGCCAAGCCTTATAATAAACTCGGGCTTCTGTTTGTATCAGTCTAGCTACTAGCAATCAAAAGGATGGACATGATCCAAACACATTGTTGGACTTTATGTCACAGCTAAGAATATTACCTATGCTTCGGGAAACTCTTTTTGGAGTGCCCAAGCTGAAAATGACATGGCTCATAGCTTAGTGCAGTTTTTAAGTACTACAAACATGTAGTGTAGAGGCAGCATAGGAACACTGTAGACAGATTGGTTCAATTAGCCATATTTGATTGTGAATATGCTGTGAAACTACTACCCACATTTGAGATTGCTTATGTACAATGATTGGCATGTATGTAATTGCAGGTGATCAGAAAAAAAAAAAAACTGACATTTCCCAAAGAAAGGAGATCATCCAACAAAACATACTAAGATACACATTCCTACTTTGATCACATAAAGCAATTTCAAAAAAAACTGAAGATGATGCATTTTGCCATCATTTAAAGGCAGTTAAAATAGGAAAGGACTCATACGCCAGGGATAAAAGTATCAATGCCTTGGAAAATTGGCTTCAAGGAAACTAAAGAGAAACCAATTAGACCTGGAAAGCTTGAGCCTCACGAGATTGGGCCAAAGCTGAAAGGAGAATTCAATGAAGCCCTGGAGTGCTCTGAGCAGCCCCTGAGACTAGTTGCTGACGAGGGAACCAGGTGGGGAGTAACCACTAGGTGCTCAAGTACCAACCACTTTCAATTGCATTTGATTTAGGTTAACAAGTGGTAAACTTCTCTCCTACTTGCTGGCTTTAGAAAGATTTTACGTAATTCATGATAATGATGCAGTTTTTAAAACGGATAAAATTAGCTGCAATAAGCAAATAGGATAAATAGCTGCAAGCATGGCCTACTGCTTTGATTGTCAGGATACCCACATCCAACCTTGAAGTTCCCTGGGGTTTGACTCTCATTCCAGCTTCTGCTCCAGCTCCCTGCAATGTGGTCTCTGGGAGGCAGCAGTGGTGGTTCAAGAAGTTGGGTTCCTGTCATCCATTTGGGAGACCTGGATTGTGCCTCCAGAACCCAGCTTGGGCCCTCAGCATTGTATGGGCAACTGAGTGAAACAGCAGGGGGAGCACCTGCCTCTGTTCCTTCATCCCCCTTGACCTCTGCCTCTGGAAGAAAGAAGAAACTTGTGAAACAGCCCGTGTGTGTGTGTGTGTGTGTGTGTGTATAAAGAGAAAACATCTGTGTCTATGACATAAGGTAGAAAAACAGTTTGTCAACTAGCCTTATCACAAATAAACTGTGGTTGTATTCACACGGAAACATTTTATTCATTTATTTTACTAACAAACAGCTTGCAGAGATAGATACCTAAACTACCATGATGAGCAATGTCTCCCGAACATTGCATAGAAACAAGCTACTGAGAGAGGCTGACGAAAGTGGGTACAAAGTCAGTTAAAGGTCAGCTTCCACAGTGAGGATGTTTGCATTTTCATTCACTGTTGGCTTGTTCCATGGAGACTGAGAGGTTCATTGCCCATTGTGTACATGGGGTATACGGCACAGAGTTATAAAGACCCTGGAACCTGCAATCCAAGGAAAGGTGTCCAGGGAAGAAGTCCCAGACAGCTTATCACAGGATTTCAGATGTGCAGAAGACAGCAGACACCACCCTGTGCCGAGGTCCAGCCCAGCCGTCCATGCAGAGGCCTGTCCTTGGGATGCAGAGACTGCATGTGCATCTGGCCTTGGGCAGCTTGGCCTGGGATGCAGTCTAGTTAGTACTGTGTTTAGAACTTCCCTGGAGGATTCTAAAGTGCAGGGAGGACTGGGATCCGCTAATCCATACAAAATCTCTTGTTTTATCATCTGAATAAACTTGAGATTGCCTGTCACAACCGAGAACCCCAACATGCCAGAAACCGGAAAGCAGACAGCAAACGTGGTCTGGCAAAAATTGCACCCCAGGGATACTAGATGGCAGGCCCCGCCCCACCCACCAGGATCACACAGCAAAGCATGGTCTTGCAGTCACTGCACCAGAGGCAGGGAGGGCGTGGCAACACCAAGCCCCACCTGACAGGAACCAGACAAAGAAATGAAGTCTTGCAGAGACTGCAGCCCAGCCAAGCAGAGGTAGACTAGAGATGGGTAGCCGACCGTTGGATCCAACATGGCATCCAGAGACGCTGTTACCTGACCTTCAGCCTCGTTGCATCCATTGCAATATATTAGCACAGTGCACATATCACTCCTTCTCTTGTTGTGATAACTTCCAATTGTCATGACCAATTGTAATGTGTCCTGTAGAAGTCACCGTTTTTGGACAGAAGAGAGGAGGACTCCTGGTTCCTGGGAATTACAACTTTACAAACCAAAGGGAATATGCAGCCCACATATTAACACATATTTATCAATGCACACACAGCTGCCTCCACTTTGCTTAATGGCACTCTTTCCTGTGTCACTCTGGGTCCATTTATTTCCAGCAAATACTAGGCAGGATTCTGAATGATGAATCCGCCTGAGTGACACACCTAGAACTAGGAGTGCTGTGTAATTCAGAGCAATGGCTGGATAAACGTATTGTTCCCTTCTCTACATGATACCTGATGCACTGGGAAATGGAAACCCAACTGATCATTGAGAAGCATCCAAAGGAACTGTGCTCTCAGAAAACAGACCATTTCTAATACTTTTTTTCTTTGCCTGCTAAACGTTTTATTCAAACGTTAAGCCTTTTTCCTTTAACATAAATTTAAACTATTTTATCTCAAAAATGAGAAAAAGAAAGGGTGAGGAAGGCTGGGAGTGAGAGAAGGGGAGAAATGGAGTTGGGGGGAGGAGGAGTATCAATATAGTCTTAGACTTGTATCTATGAACTACATTGACTCTGTTGAAAACTAATTAAACACTCTAAAAGAATAAACTGTATTTCAATTAAAAAAAAGAGCCAACCTCTACCCAGGATCCAAAGCTCAGCAAGGCTCTTTCCAACCTCTAATGGCCGAAGAAAGTAACAGGTGGCTGGTAGGGTAGATCCAATCTAGGGTGCCAGAGCACCAGGGGACTGGACATAGCTATGACAGTCCTGCAGAGCCACGATACTCGTATCTGGGAGTTAGATCAACTTACAAAGCTACACAAAGCTCTACTCAATGAGAATGAGAAATGCATTTTCTTAAGGCCAAAATTGTTCTGATTGAAGACTCAACATGCTGACACAGACATGCACCCTGTTCCTATGACTAAGAAGGAGTAAAATCACTGTTAGCAGGGTATGCATAGTTATAGTAGAATCAATAATATGTCATCTCTCAGAATGGCAGCAAATGAGAGTTAAGACTTCCATTTAGGAGCCAGCACTGTGGTGTAGCTTGGGAAGCCACTGCCAGCAGTGCCGGCATCCCATTTTGGCACCTGTATGAATCCTGGCTGCTCCAGTTCCAATCCAGCTCTCTGCTATGGCCTGGGAAAACAGTAGAAGGTGGCCCAAAACCTGGGGTCCCTGACCCGCATGAGAGAACTGGAAGAAACGCCTTGTTCCTGGTTTCAGTTCAGCGCACCTCCAAAAATTGCTGACATCTTGGGTGTCAATTAGCGCATGGAAGATCCCTCTCTCTCTTGCTCTGCTCTCAATAACTCTGTCTTCAAAACACATAAAAAATCACAAAAAACTTCCATTGAGAATTTTGTGAACTCTTGTGCTGTGAAATGAGAACTGCTTGCTTCCAGTAAGCAAACAGGTACACAGATTGGGGGCAGCTTTCCCAAGGTCACCCCATGGTTATCACGGTCCCCTGCTCTAGGCTCCCAGGCCTCTGCCCTAACCTGCATCTGCCAGCTCCAGTTCTCTGCAAGGACAGGAAAGAGGCAATGGTACACGAGTACAACGTTCTCATCAGTCTCCTCTCAGTTTTCAAAAGAGGACAGAGAAAGCACTCAACATTTAAGTTTCTTTTTCAGAAACAGGAAATCGACCTGTTGCAGTTTCATTTCTGTTCTCAGTTCCAATGTTGATTGGTAAGGATACGCCTACAGCTAAAACATTTTCTGCTGATACACCCCTTTTGCAGTGCTCAGTTTATGTGGAATCCACAACGCACACGGGCCAGGTCTCAGAGGGCACAGTCCGGCTCAGGAAACCTGCAGACTTCTGCCTCCTTCTCAGCAACCATGAGGTAAGGAGTTCTCAGCCTCTCTGCGCTATGCCTATAGAGATTTTGAGCAGATGTTCGTCACCATGTCTCAACAGGTGTGGACACGTTTGCTCATGACTCTATTTGAGTGGCTGTGTATGGACTGGAGTGTGTTGGAAAGTGGACATGTGCCTGTGCGTGTAGAAGACTGTGGAGATGCATATTCATAACCACACACAGAAAGGATTTTCCACCCATGTGTTTTTGTTTCTTTTCGTTAATCAAAGGAACCTTTTCAAATACTCTACCCGCAGAGTGGAGGGAAGAGAGACAGAGTTTTTCAGGAAGGGAGAAATGACTCCGATCTCCAGAGTCTCTTCTACCAGCTGCACTTGTGCAGTCTGGGCAGGGCTGGGCAGCTTGTTCATGAAGACAGCGTTTTCTGCAGGTTGCTCACCACGGAGGACGTGCAGGGCCGAGGGGCTGTGTCAGCTGCAGTCCCGAGGCCTCGCATTTGCTTTGTGGGTCATGTTGTGGGGATGTGGCATGAGAAGTTTATGGCTTTGCCCTGCAGTCTTCTGCTCTCGCTCTCTGTCCAGCCGGGCTCCTGTGTCAGTTGGACTGCATCTTAGATTAGCAGTTACTTCTTCCTGGGGGAACGCAGGCCATCCGCAGATCATTGTCGTCCTCCTGGCCGTGAGTCTTGGCTGGAGTCCCTGCTTGGGAACATGCACGCAAACATGTACATACGCTTGACCCTAAGAATGTCTATACGTTGCCAACTGAATCTTCATCACTAGAACTCATATTATTACTTTGATTTCTTGTTTTAATATCCCTTAGTATACTAATTAGCTATTACATTGGGAGTCATCACAAGGAGTGCTCACGAGGAGCAGATTGTCTGGCACCTTCATCTGTGATTTCTCTTCTCTCCATAATTCTAAAAAAAGACATTGTTAAACCAGTCAGTCTGTGGAATTTTGTTATTTTTCTAGGGCTCACAAATAAAACTCTATAATCAAGGGTTGATTTCTAGGCTCCCTGTTCTAGTCCCTGGTTTATACCTTCTGTCTTTATACCAAGAACATGATATTTTGATTCCTGCAGGAAAACAGGAAGTATGGGATATCAAATGTGTATTCCATCTTCAAGATACTTTTGGCTTTGGCATTTCACAGATAGAATTAGAATGAGTTTTCCAATTCTGAGAAAATAGTGTTGGGGTTTTGATGGGACATTAATGAAATCTGTAGACTGCTTTGGATAGTAAAGATAGCTTAACAATATTAAATTTTCCTACTGGATCAAGGGATGTCCTCCCAATTGTTTTTGTCTCTAATTCTTTCAGCATACAATTATCTTGCCTCTTTTTAAAGTTTATTCCTTAATATTTTATTCTTTTTCATAAGATTATAAGTGATTTTCTTGTATTTTTTCAGGTTGTTCATTGCTAGTGTGTACAGTGATTTTTGAATGTTGGTTTTATATTCTGAAGCTCGGTTAAATTTTTAAAATTAGTTCTAACAGTTTATGCATGGGATCATCAAAATATGCTACATGTAAGGTCTATATTCAATAGAAGTGGTGGAAGAGGCATCCTTCCCTGTGTTCCTGACCTTAGAAGATGATTTCAACCTTCTAGCATTGAATAGGATGCTAGCTGTGGGATTTTCCATATGTGGCCTTGATTGTGTTGAGGTAGCTTCCTTCTATTACCTGTGCGTTGAGTATTTGTATCATGGGAGAATGTTAAGTTTTGTCAAATGTCTTTTCTGCATTAAGAGAGTCATGGTTTTCTGATACATCCTGTTTTGTGATGTCTTACACTGATTGCTATTTGCATGCTCCACGACATTCTGCCTTCAAAGAATGTTCCTGAAATAGCAGTATTAGAGAGATGAAAGTCAAAGTAGTAGTTCCAAAAGACCAGGGGTGCTTGGGAGTATGGTGAAGCAATCACAGGTTGATTCTAAAGGGTTATCCTAAGGGGACTGTTGCAGTGATGGGATGCCTTTCTGTGTTACTTGAGGTGGTGACTCCACAGTTTATTCACATGAGAAAAACCACGGAACAACATACCTACACTGTTGTGCCAGTGTCAATTCCTGATCCTGCTATTGGATGTTAACTGCTTAAGATAGGATCATTGAGAGAAACAGAGTGGAAGAAACACAGGATCACTGCACTGCCTTAGTCATTTCATGAGAATCTATACTTATTTCAAGTAAGCAGTGAAAAAAAACTGGGTAAATAGAACTTCTTTTTCTTGGTCTATATTTGTTGCCATATATGGAGACTAAGATACTAAAATCAATAACAGTTCCTGGGATTTTGCAATTCTGATGGGTCTCAGTCCAAAATATATTAGCAAAATAGGCAAGTTTCATATAGCATGTGCCTACTCTAGACTTATTAATCCTCCTCAAGCCCAGTGTGAGAAGTGCTATTGTAGTCCACCTTTATAAAAAAGGACCCAGAATCAAACAATGGTTGTTTAACTGAAACGTACTGGAACCCCTAGACAGACAACTGTGTGACATTCACAGTCATGAGTGTCTTAAAAATACAGGCACTCGAAAGGAAGTCTAAGTGTGAGGCCTCAAAACTAGACTAAAATGGCTCAAGGTGCTACAGTTCTCTGTTTGCTGTTAGAGTCCTCACCTAACAAACTCTGCTGTTGTTTCACAGTGAGTGTGCTGAGGAGCATCCGCTGAAGGACAGGCTGCAGAAGCTGAGATGTCACTTCACATGGGGGCTGCTCATCGAAGACACTGGGTTGCCTGACCTAGAAGACAGAATCCTGGAAGAGATTCAATTTCTAGACACTGAAAACAAGGTAGGATACAACCTGCTGGCCTATGTGAAACACCTGCAAGGCAAGCATGAGGATGCCCTGGAGAACCTGAAAGAAGCAGAAGAGGTGGTTCAGGGAGACCAGGCTGACCACTCAGATGTGAGGAGTCTGGTGACCTGGGGCAACTACGCCTGGGTGCACTATCATATGGGCAGGCTGGCAGATGCACAGACATACCTGGACAAGGTGGAGAATACGTGCCAGAAGTCTGCAGACCCCACCCGTTATAGTACGCAGTGTCCTGAGATGGACTGTGAGGAAGGCTGGGCTTTGCTGAAGTGTGGAGGAAAGAACTATGAGCGGGCCAAGGCCTGCTTTGAGAAGGCTCTGGAAGCAGACCCTGAGAACCCCGAATTCAACACAGGGTATGCAATCACTGTCTATCGCCTGGATTACCCTGCCAAAAGACCATGCGATGTCAGTGATGCGTTTTCTCTGCAGCCCCTAAGGAAGGCCATCAGGCTCAATCCACAAGATGCATACCTTAAAGCTCTGCTTGCTCTGAAGCTGCAGGATGTAGGAGAGGAGGCCGAAGGAAGAGAGTGCTTGGAGGAAGCTCTGGCTCACACGTCCTCCCAGACCTATGTCTTTCGATACGCAGCCAAGTTTTTCCGCAGACAAGGCCGTGTGGATGAAGCTCTGAAGTACTTAAAAATGGCCTTGAAGGCAACACCCAGCTCTGCCTTTCTTCACCAGCAGATAGGCCTCTGCTACAAGAAAAAAACAAACCAAATAATGAATGCTACCCACATGCAGCCTACAAGGCAGGATAGGGAGAATGTGGACAGATTGATTCAATTAGCCATATTTCACTTTGAATATGCTGTCAAACAAAAGCCCACGTTTGAAGTGGCTTATGTGGACCTGGCCCGCATGTACATAACTGCAGGCGATCATGAAAAAGCTGAAGACACTTTCCAAAAAGTGCTGTGCATGACACCACTCCAGGAACACATACAGCAAAATATACATTTCTCCTATGGTCAATTTCAACAATTTCAAAAAAAATCTGAAGTTGATGCCATTACCCATTATTTACAGGCAGTTACAATAAGAAAGGACTCATATGCCAGGGATAAAAGTATCAAATCCTTGGAGCAACTGGTTTCAAGGAAACTAAAGAGAAACCCATTGGACCAGGAGGCCTTGAGCCTCCGGGAGGTGCTCCACAGGTTGGTAGGAGGAAGGGATGAAGCCCTGGAGTGCTCTGAGCAGGACCTCAGACTAGCTGCTGACAGTGGGAACTGGGTGGGGAGTAGCCTCTAGGTGCTCAAGTATCAACCGTGTTCATATTGCATTTGATTTAGGTTAACAGGTAGTAAATGTCTCTCCTACTTGCTGGCTTTAGAAACATATTACATGATTCATGATGATGATGCAATTTTTAAAACGGATAAAATTAACTGCAATAAGCAAATAGGATAAATAGCTGCAAGCATGGCCTACTGCCTTGATTGTCAGGATACCCACATCCAACCTTGAAGTTCCCTGGGGTTTGACTCTCATTCCAGCTTCTGCTCCAGCTCCCTGCAATGTGGTCTCTGGGAGGCAGCAGTGGTGGTTCAAGAAGTTGGGTTCCTGTCATCCATTTGGGAGACCTGGATTGTGCCTCCAGAACCCAGCTTGGGCCCTCAGCATTGTATGGGCAACTGAGGAGTGAAACAGCAGGGGGAGCACCTGCCTCTGTTCCTTCATCCCCCTTGACCTCTGCCTCTGGAAGAAAGAAGAAACTTGTGAAACAGCCCGTGTGTGTGTGTGTGTGTGTGTCTGTGTGATGAAATAATGAGCCAATTTCCTTCTTTTGCATGTGGATATTTAGTTCTCCAAGCACCATTTATTGAAGAAAGTGTTCTACCTCCATTTTGTATTCTTGGCAGCTTTGTCAAAAATCAGTTGACCATAAATGTGTAGATTTATTTGGAATTTTCTTGTCATGTTATTCTGTGTATTTGTGATCAGAGTAATACTGGCCTCATGACTGAAATATACTCCCTTCTATTTAGTGGAACTGATTATATACAATTATATATAATTGATATTAGTTTTTCCTTAATTGGTAGAATTATACCAAATTGTTGGATAATGTTTGGGCCTTTCATTTCTGTTCTGATCTTCTAATCAAACTGTTTTTGGATTTGCCTACTAGTCCCTTCTTATCCTATATTGTCTTATGCA